CGATAAATATCCCTGATTTACCGTACGAGAGATCTCTCCCTTCGACTCACCGCGAAGTGTATTCCTCGCATTGTCGGCCTCGCTCAAATCAAATTGAGACGAGAAAAAGTTGCTGAGACTCTCGTAAGACTCTCGCGCGGAAATTTCGAATTTAAAAGAATAAAAAGAGAAGATTAATACACGTACAGAGAGGCTCATCCTTTCGAAACTGTTTCTGACTTCTCTTTTTTTTTTTTCTTTTTTTTTTGTGTACATGTAAGAAACTTGCGCGGATCAGTCGAGTTATCTCGAGAACTTTTTAATGCATCTCAAACGCTTCAGAGAGAGCTTAACAGAAATAAAAGCTCCTATATTCCAATGCGAGAAATGCTTTTGAGAGTTCAGGCCGATGAAAAAGTTTCAAGGACGGAAAGTTACGGATCGAGCGCGTTTCTTGATATAGCGCGATAACAAAAAAAAAAAAAAAAAAAAAAGAACGTAAACGCGAGTAACTTTGATGATCGCGGATCGCGCAAATTAGATTTCCGCGATCGAACGGCGATTAAACGAGTCGTCCGCTCCGGGTTCCCGAGGATCACGATCCGCGTACGATCGAGCCATAATTCGCGGCGTTGCCGTGGCAAAGTGCTAATTCATTTAGCCGGTTCTGCGCGCATAATCGATGCCTCGATCTCTTGTCACGATAATTAACCCCCATCGCCGCGGACAGAGGAGACTCGGGGAGATAATTAGCCAATTAGGCGTTACACGTCGCGACGCGCGTAAGGCTGAGGGACCTCGACGTCGATGCTCATCGAGCGAAATTATCACCAAACGAGTATTGCCGGGAAACATAATTACCGACTGACGTGCTTGGAAATAGACAATCCGCGAACGGGTTATTTGTGGTGTTTATCGCAAACGCGAATGATGATGTTACGTTATTGATATTCAAAACTAAAAGATGTTTTTGAATACGAAAAGAGGGGATTTATAAAACTGAAAAAGAAAGTTGGAATATAATCTCAGTGATCTTATACCGCGATTCTCAATAAATCTGTGATTAGAAAATGTCCTTTTTACTCGTCTAAAAAAAAAAAAAAAGAAAAAAAAATAATTCCGTTGCAGTTTAAATGCTGCATTTATTCTGAGACTCATTCGCCTCATTGGTTTTATCGTCCCGATCCATCGACCTGATGGCAAATAAATTTGGCATCGCGAAACGAATGCACCTCGGAAACGCATGCACGCTATTATATCGCAACGCGCTCGTTCAAGCGAAGAGAGAGAGAGAGAGAGAACGAACTGTGACGGAAAGATTGCTCCATTACGACGGCGACAAGTAAAGGTGTGTGTGTGTGTGTGTGCGCGCGTGTGTGTACTGCGTGATGCGCGGCATCTCGCTGCCGAAGTGGAGAGCTACCGGGAAATAACAGCGTACGCTGAGATCTCGAGGATGTGTTTCGATTTATCTCGCACGAGCGAGCGGTTTCAGCGCGCGTGCACGCGCACGGAGACCGAGCACCAACACCAGCAAGTGTATCACTTGGTGTTGGGAAGGCTCTTCTGTCGTTTGTTTCGCTCTCCTCGTCTATCGTTTGCGATTCTACGCTCCTCTCGCTCTTTCCCATGTGCTCGGGGCTCCCCTTAACGTCGGGGAAACATGACAATAATACGATATGAGGCTACGAGCCACAGAATATAACGTAACTCGCCTCAGCGGGGGTTTTGCCCCTCGCTTCACCCCCTACCGACGAGAGAACAACGAGCCGGGAAGAGAAGTAGGGAGAATGGGAGAAATAACGCGGCAAGAAGAGAGCATGAAGAGTCGTCTGGTAAGAAGCGGCGAGGCGCTTGTAAAGTGCAATAATGCTGCCCAGGGACATTCTAAAGGCGCGCTTATGCCGATTCTCGCTTACACGAACACGATTGTTGTGGACGACGTGGAGGAAGATTTTCTTGCGATCCAACAAGTGTCGGTTTTATTGGCCGACACAATCAACTCCGCAGCAAATTTCTCTGTTGTCTGAAGCAGAATTTACATTTGTATACGTATTGACATTGTGAAATTATATTCCGTTGAAATTAACTGCCGGAGCGAAACAAAGAATTGAAAAGAAGAGTACGGTGTGAGAGTCGCTCGGAGGCGATGAAAAGAATCGACATAATTAAATACTCATGCAATTATAAAGATTCTAGAATCTTTGTCAAAATTCAGAGAATCTAAAAAGTCGACATCTATCTACTTTGTTGTAACAAAGATTGAAAACAAAAAAAGACAATAAAAGAAAGAGAATAAGAACTAAAACATATGGCAAGTAAATAAATTGAAAAAAATCTTTCTCTATTTTCATTTCTTTTTAAATAAAAGTCACTTTCGAGAATCTTGTTTGTTTTGAATATTTATTTATACTAAATTTAGACGTATGCGCGATATCTTTGTCAAAGCATAACGTAACTGATTTACCTCTGAAATCAGAAATCCGAAAGTGCGCATTGGATAAATTTGATGGATGCGATAGATTGTTCGCGCATCGTTACAGAGAACGCCACGGTTGCCCGTAGCGAGTGATGTTGCTGCGCGCATAAAGTGCCGTACGTCGGTTTATAAACTATTTATGCTAATGGCGCGCTGGAGCGGTCGACTCATCGCCGTTGGTGAAGTCGTAATTGCTTTTACGCGAATGCAATTACGGGGCTTTAACGATGACGCGACGCGCTTAATTGCGTTTATATTCGCGCGGGATACCTACGTAATGAAGAAGACAATGGAGCGTGAGGGCGAGAGAAAGAGCGAGAAAGAGAGAGAGAGAGAGAGAGAGAGAGAGAAAGAGAAAAAGAGCGAGCGGGAGAGAAAGAGAGAAGAGAAGAGAATGGGAGTAAAATGGACTACGGGCAGCGTAACGGAGGTGGCTGTCGCATTTTTTTGTGTTTCGCGGGGCTCTCTTTTATTGCGTCTACTTCGATAAAGACACCCAATGTCATCGTCGTCGTCGTCGTCGTCGTCGACGTCGTAGAGCGTCCGCAGGAGCCAAGTTTCCAATTAGCGAGGACACAGAAGACCCTCGTTATAAATGGGAGTTAGGGATCGGGAGAAATGCGTTTTATAACGAAACGATTTGCATCGTTGAATTCATTTCCATGAAATTTACTGCGGAGCAACCTGGGTACGTTCTTGTTGAAATCATCACGCGACGAATCAATTTGTCAGTCGAAATATGTCTGAATATTTCGAGAGAAGTAATTTCGTTTTCCACCTCATGCTTCGAATATTTTTGACGATTTCTCTTTTCTCGCCTCGGCTTTTTATTTTTAATTTTATTTTATGTGTTTTCTTACGTTATGAAATGTAATGCGATATTTCCAATACAATTTGTTGCCAATTCGGTAGCGTTCATCCGTTAAAATACGTCCATTTTAGCCGGAATAGTGGGATTTGCATACGGTGCAGCCGGAAGCGATTTCCGGAAACAGTTCTGCGAGGATGTTTATAGACTAGAACGGTAATTTTCACCAAGTAGTAATCCAAGCGAGATACGCGCAGACAGACGCGTGTAGACGAACGCGCTATTAGTTAGATATTTACGCGCGTCGAAGCTCGTCGGCGGCTATTCGGTCATATATATGTATATATGTATATATAATACATATATATATATATATATTATATATATATATACATGTATATGTACACATATATATGAGTTTTACTGCCTCCGCGTCGGATCTTACTTAAAGTAATAAAGTGGAACCCGAGATGGGTTAGCAATCCGGACGGTGGATCGTAAATTTCTCATATACCGTACGGTTGCTGGCCTGGCTGTCCCCTTGAGCTCTCTCTCTCTCTCTCCCTCTCTTTCTCACCCTTCTCTCTTCATCCTTCTTTCCCTTCTGCTCTCTGCTCGCTCACTGAACACGATTTTAACCCTACTCACTCGCCGTGACCCTCTATACGCCTGCTTTCTGTCGGCCGAGTTGACGACAAGCCGCCTGCCTACGAATGATTATTACGACGGTGATTGTTTCGGACACATGTGCTACCATCAATGCCGGTTTTTTTACATTGACCCAGGGAATTATCGAGAGATTCATTTTCCGAATCCCGATCCGCGACAAAATAAATGAATGTTTTTTTTTATTCATCCGCCGATTAGGGATGAATCACTCGCTTATTTCACACGATAAATGACGATAGCGATTTTGATAATCATAAAGAAATAGATTTTACATCATTGTGTGACTTCTCCAACCGCTGATTTTGCGAAAAAATGTCAGAGAAAAATAAAGAAATATTTTGAACGGTAGAAAGTTTTTGGAGAATTATGTGAACACTCACCGATTCGTAAAAGACTGTCTGGTCCTCGTAACGCTGTTCCATAGGTTTATTCGCTTTTTTCTTGCAACATAAAAACAACAACAAAATAACGCGAAAGAATTGCGCACTAAACAGTAAAACACTGACTTTAATTATGCAGCTTATATTGGCTCATACAGCTATGTTCAAGTTGGTGCGAAAAACATGTAGCTGGCGACATCTTACGGATAACTTCTGAACTTATGTCAGAACTTTCTCGTCTCAAGCAATATTGTCGCATCTTTTACCCACAATGTTCTTATAAATGTACTGATTCAAGATCGAAAAACTTTATCTGTTTTAAAAACAAAGATAATTTAAAAACTTAAAAAGGATAAGTTAAAAAATTGCAAGTAAATTGAATTTTATATACAAAGAATATACAAAAGCAATCAAATCAGCAACTGTATATTTTTTCAAACTTTATCGATGTCATTATAATTTTTCACATAAGTCTCAAAAACAGACTAATGTATAATTTATGTTATATTTACGTAAACAATATTCAATTTTGATGTTTTCTATTACTCTGCGTTATATTGACTAAAGTAGTCGAAATCCGGTAATAATTGATAGATGGCGCTTACGCTGTAATGGCCTTTTCCTGTTGAGATTTCAGCAGATTAAGACGCGAACGTAAGTTGCAGAATAATTTCTATTGTTCCGAAGTAAGCGTGCAAAAGAAGTATAAATCGGCATCATCGACCAAATTTATAGAAACAGGAGTTTAGAGTGATCATAAAAGTGCGAGACTATGTATAATTTTTTGCACACGCCGAATGCGGTACATGTGACCGCGTGGCCACATGTTTTCCTAATTGCGAGAATTTGTTAGATTTTTTTTACGTTTTGAGAAAGTCACTGAGCTAAATAAATATTTTGCCTCTGATCGACTTAAGAGAAACGCGTTTTACATATTGTTGAATGTCTTACTATCCACCCTTTTTTTTTTTAGCTTTTCTGATATGTTTAATTATGAACAAAGTATTTGAAAACGATCTTGTCGAGATGATTGATAACCTACTTTTTGATTAGGAATTGAAAACATTTTGGATCTTGGAAATGGATTCTGAAATATGTGGTTTAATCATTGATTGCATGTTGCAGATAAAAGATGGATGAAAAAGAGACATTTGACGACATGGTGGTAGCAACCACTACTACGTTGCCAGTAGCCATGCCGGCTGAACTACCTGAGATCAAATTGTTCGGCCGTTGGAATTGCGACGATGTCCAAGTAAATGACATGTCTCTGCAAGATTATATTGCTGTTAAAGAAAAAAATGCCAAATATCTTCCACATTCAGCGGGACGATATGCAGCTAAACGGTTTCGGAAAGCACAGTGTCCTATTGTGGAACGTCTTACTAACTCTCTGATGATGCATGGTAGAAATAACGGAAAGAAGCTGATGGCTGTCCGTATTGTAAAACATGCATTTGAGATAATACATCTTTTAACTGGCGAGAATCCTTTACAGGTTAGTAAAAACAAAAGAAGAAATCTTTTTAAACAAGTTGTTTTAGGTAAATTGGTGCCACAATCTTTTAACAAAAGTCGAAATCTGTTTTTACATATGTATTTACCAAAATCTTTTCTTTTTCTTTCTCTGATACTTCAAATATAGTTATTTTGTATTAGTTAAATATCATTACTTTATATTAGATTGTAAGAAATTTAATGGAAATTTACTTGTGCTATTTAGGTTCTTGTCACAGCTATTATTAATTCCGGTCCACGCGAAGACTCTACACGTATTGGACGTGCCGGAACGGTAAGGAGACAAGCTGTGGATGTGTCTCCCTTGCGTCGAGTCAACCAGGCAATTTGGCTTTTATGTACGGGTGCGAGAGAAGCTGCATTCCGTAACATCAAGACGATTGGAGAATGCTTAGCTGACGAACTAATTAACGCTGCAAAAGGTTCATCTAACTCTTACGCTATCAAGAAGAAAGATGAATTAGAACGTGTTGCTAAATCCAATCGATAAATATTTTACACATGTGAAATTACAAATAAATGTTTTGTCTTTAAATACTTTTCCGTCTAATTTTATTATGTTAGACAATAAGACAATGCAAATATTTGTTTATTGACAGATGAAAGATTTAGAATGATTCCAATTTGTAAGATTTGTACCTCATGTAATTTGAGAAATCTGGGCGGAATCGTCTGGCATATATGCACATGCTCGTTAAAAGGAGCGGTCATTTGTTTATTTGCGATTGGTTGACCTCCCACCATACTGCTGTAACAAATATTTGTGGCTTAAGAGGGTACTGGCGGAGAAAAGCATGAGAGCGGCCAAGACCATAAGAGAAGGTGTGAACACTTTTCCGCTCCGTACACTAGCGCAAGTTCACGGGTGGTGCACGTTGGAACTACGTAGCAATGTCCGACGAGCGACATGTCGGTGCGCTATGTCCACAGCGTGCGGTTCTATTCTGTGCTATGTGCACGAGTTTAAATGGTCACTTTCTTTAAGTGTGTGAGTATATTCGAGAGCGTGAATTTGATTTCTTTTGAAATTAAAAATGACCGATCTCGTGATGAGAAGATGAGAAAGGAAAACAGAAAAGGATAAGAAAAACCATTGCAACTTTTCGTACAACATAAATGTGATTACAAGAAAAGATGTTGATAGTCAAGAAAAGAATCTTATTTTAGCGAGCAACATCAGAATTCGTGGAGTGTAGTCAAATATTATCTCCTTTTACATCATCATTTGCTGCTCTGTGCTTTATAAATTTTATTTTATTTTCTTAAAAACACTACATATATATATATATATATATACAGATACAAAATACACAAACAACCATGTATATTATACAAAGGTGTTTTAACGGGACACAAATATAATGTCTGAAAAGTTGCAATTCCAAGAAATATAGCTTTTGCTTTTTTATTTAAAACTCTTTATCAGTGTGTTTTCTATTTCCAAGTTTCATTTTACAATTTTTTTATACATTACAATAAAATACAATTTTATTACACATTTATTACATATAACATACAATATAATACAATATAATACAATATTATACAATATAATATAAATAGTTATATATATAATCCTATCTACCTATACCTACCTACCTATCTTAGACATCTGACATATCTTAAACGTTACTAGCGTTATTAATTAGGATTAAGGCTGCGTAACAGCCTTGATCCTAATTTTACATTTTGATTTCTCCCTACTTATCCGGTCTAATATATTTCCTATTTCCTACCTATCCGGCCTAATATATTTTCTACAAGCGCTTGTAGATACGCATCCCTACCTACACAGATACCTATTTACCTACCTACTTTGGAAAGTTTTAAAATCTATCAAATATTTTACGCGAGGGACAGTTGTTTTAAAATTAAAAAGTATTATTTTAAATTTATTTTACTTTTGCGACCGAGTTTTTATATTTTATTTGATTTAAAGAAAGTATGTATCCATCCGATAAAGCCTACCATGTATTTATAGATGAGATAGAATATGAAAAAAGTAAAAATATATATTTAAATATATATATATTTCAAATATATATTCAAATATATATTTTTGCAAAGATAAAATAGAAAAGAATAAGTATAAAGAAGAGAATAGATATAAAGAGAACATGAGTCTCCG